AGCGCGGAACTCCCTGCCCCGCCCCCCATTCCCACCCCTTCCCGGGTCCCCCCTCTCCGCAGGAGCGCGGCCCCCTTACCTTCGGCAACCCGTCCATGTCGCCCGAGCCTGCGGACCGACAGACACGGGTACCGGCTCAGACGTGCTGACGCCAGAACGCCAGGCCCCCCGGCCTCCAGGGGCCGAAGACCCTCGCGAGCTTCCTCCGCTGCCGCGCCCCCACCCCGCACAGCCCGCCAGGAACCCCGGGACTGAGGCCAGGTGGAGGGTTGGACCTGGGGGGAGGGGCGGTCAGTGCATCCCCTGGTTTGGTCGCTGGATCCCGCTCCAGGTGGGGGCAGACCCTGTCACTGAGTGGTCCCCGGGGGGCTCAGGGCGCCACTAGACACCTCCACCTGACAGGCGGGCTGACTGGCGAGGGGAGGCAGCCAGGGAGCGCACGGGCCCGGAAGGCAGGAAGGCAGCGTGGGCAGGAGCAGGGACGCCCACTCACCCAGGGATCCGTTCACATGGTGAGGCTCCATCGCGCTCATGGCGGCCATGGGGCCCTCCGGGCCAGGGCCGAGCGGGAACTGCAGGCATGAGGACAGCGTGGGTCTCGGGCCACCCATTCCCTCAGTGGGGTCACCGCCTCGAGAAGCACCCCCGCAAGCCCCCACTCACATTAGCCCTGCCAGCGCCCGGCCCGATGGGGTTCATGATAGTGTACATGTTTTCGCTGGAGTTAGTGGAATCTGGGGGAGATCAGGGGACAGGAAGGGTGCCAGGTGTGACGGGGTTTCCCCCAACCATACCCACCCTAGCACACCCCGCCTCTGCCTAGGCCATACCTCCAGGGCTAGGCATGATGGGTGTTCCAGGGGGCCCACCTCCTCCTGGGGGTCCCTGCACACAGGAGACAGGAACCGTGAGAAATGGTCCCTCATCTGCCATCCCACAGCCCTTGCCCAGGGGTGGCCCAGTCTTGCTCAGACGTACCGTGTAGCTGCCGGGGGATGAGGAGGAGTAGGGGATCTGGGGACAGGGGCAGCTATGAGCAGTCAGCCAGGCGGCTCGCCCAGTGCCCCTCCCACCCCACCCCAGGCCTGCCCACCCAGCCTTAGGCTCACCGAGTTTCCACTGGGGCTGGCCCACGGGCCACGAACTCCTGGGCCCCTGGAAGAGACGGTGGGTGACAGACTCCGGGGCTAGTCCATGTGGATCACAGCCCCCACCACGCACCCCCCACACCCTGCTCCACTGTGTCCCCAGACAGGCCACACAGCAGATGTTGCTGGAAAAGTGGCCACCGCGAGCGGCCAGGTTCCAATCTCAACCCATCACTGGCCCCGGGGGACTAACTGCTACTTCAGGCCTGTCTCCCCTCAGTGGCCATGAAATAAACAATATCCAAGACTGTCCTGAGGATTCAGGGCCTGCCCCAGCTGACCCAGCCATGAAGCTAGTGGTGGCCTGTGAACTGCACACTCCGGGGGTCCCCGAGGGTCTTACATGTTCATGGCAGGCAGGCCTGGGCCAGTAAGGGAGTTGGGCGGGGGCCGCATGCCACCTCCATAGCTCTGCGGAGGCAAAGGGGCTGTGAGGGGCAGACCGGGGACAGCCCGAAAGCCCCACCCACCAGGGCTCCACTCTTACCTGGGGCCCCACGCTGGCCATGCCCCGAGGAGGCGTCACCCTCTGCATTGGGCCGCCCATGCTCGGATGCCCTGGGGTGGGGCAGAAGGAAGGGGACTCGGACCTGGACCATTACCCAGTGTGGACAGCAGGGAGGCAGCAAGGTCAGAGCTCTGAGAGCTGGAATTCTGATTGATGGGGGGATAGGGGCTGGAGCTTCCCTACTCACCCTGGGCTCTTGGGGAGGGCTCCATGGCGCCAGGGAGGAGGGGCTGGGAGCCGGGGAGGCCTGCGGGAGGCTGCAGAGGGGGTGCAGCGGCACTGAGTGTGGGGTGCTCTCTCCCCGGCCCAGCTCCTGCCCCCCTCCCATCATCCCTTTCTCACCTGACTCGGCATCCGCAGGGCGGGCCGGGGGCCCCCTGGGAAGCGCGGTGACATGAAGGGCTGGAAGAGGTGGGTGGGGATCAGCACCTCCCCCCACCCTCTGGCTCCCAAAGCTACCCCATTCCTGCTATGCTGGGGGACCCCCGACCTGGGGAGCCCCCTCCTCCAGAACCAGTCAGCAAAGCCTGGCGGTGCCAGCCGGCCAGGACATCATGGCTTGGGGGCAGGAGGGGGTGGCACTGGGGGAGGGGATGTGTGTGTGTTAGGGGCAGGCACCACAGCTGCTTACCTGACCGGGAGGCCCCATCATGGGGGCGTTGGGGTTGTGGGGGGATGGCTGGGAGCCCGAGGGGCCCTAGGAGGACAGAACCAGGTGGGTTGGGGGGAATGAGGTCCTACTGGGTTTGGCTGAGGAGGGGAGGGGCTCCATGGAGGCAGAGGGGTGGGCCAGCCTATGGGACAGGGACCCTGTGGGAAGGCTTGAGGGCAGGACTCAGGCACCAGTGGTCACCAGGACCACTGTGGCCACTGCATCCCCAAGCACCCTGTGCACACGCATGTACAGGCCAAGCGTGCAGACACCCACCCTCCACTGCACTCGGGCCCTCCCTCGCTGGCCCCTGAAAGGCCCACCTGGGCACACCTGCCACACAGAGGACCCTCCCACCCATCTCCAGCCTGCCGGCCTCATGACCTCTGCCCACGTGGGACCCTCATCCTCAGACGCATGTTCACCCAGAGTTGGGGGCCAGGGGACTCCAGCCTGGGCCATACCTGGAAGAAGCCAGCTGCCATGGGGCCTGCGGCCATTGCGTCACCTGGGGCCATACTCCCCATCACAGGGCTGGGGGCAGCTGCAGCGCTCTGTAGGGGTGCGGGAAACCGAGAGGGCCAGGTCAGGGCACTTGGACACTTCCTACCTGGGGTGTGCCCCCTCCTCTCTGCAGGTGGCTGGCCCCATGGGACAGCCAGCTGGCATTGGTCAGTAAGCACACTGGGGTTGTCGCCTGAGGATCTGTGGGTCTGAAGACCCTGTAGGACCCAGGATCCAGTGCTGCCCTCATCTCACACAGACCTGCCCCCGACTCCAGACCCATCCCAACGGGCCCTGCATCGTCCTGGCTGGCAGGACAGCTCAGCTGGGTCCCCAGCTCTACCCAGGACACCCCAAATAAACATACACACAAATATACCGGCAGTTTCAAGAGCCTCCCTGAAGGCTCTACCTTAGAGCAGCTGTGGACCCCTGCCCCACCCCACCCTGCCCGTCGTCCAGGAGGGAGGGGGAAAAGCAGGATTCTGGGGTGGGGTTCCCTTCCCCCAGCCTCTCTCAGATGGAGAAGGGGAGAAGACACGGTGCTAGAGGGGGCTTCCTGTATCTGCCAGAAATTCTGGTGGCAGCCCAGGCCTGGTCGGGGACCAAGTTGTGGACCTGTCTGCTATGGGGCCTATAGGGTCTGGCAGGGGGAAGGTGGGAAGGGGGATGTGAGGTGGGGAGGGCGGCCCGGTCTCTGAGGGCAAAGGGACACCTCTGGGGACAGGGAGGGGAGAACTTCTCTCCCGGCCTCTGTATGGTCCAGGCCAAACCCCAACCCCCCAAAACAAGGGGAGGGACTCTCTGGGGTTGGCCCAAGCCAGCACATCGGGACGCTCAGGTGTTTGTGGCATTAACTGATGCCACTTGGGCTCAGAGAAGTTGAGCCCTCTGCCTGCAGTCACACTGCGTTTCCTGTCCTCAGGGACTGCTGAGAGGGGTCCCCTGCCTAGAGCAGAGCCCCAGGAGAAATCCTCCCTCCCCGTGTAGGGCTGCGGGCTGGCCTCTTCTCTGAGGTTAGCCTCAAGCCTCCCGCCAGGGTCCTAAGCTGGGGGAGGGGGTGGAGGAAGGAGCCCCCTAAGCTCACCATGACGGAGAGCACTCCCAAGGCCCAGAACAAATCCTTCGAAAGCCCTCGTGCCCTAGGGCCCCACTCCTGTGCCACTTTCTCAGTTACAAACTGCCAGGTCCCCTCTGGGCCCCCACCCCACCCCCTCCCGCAAACACAATAGCCTGGAGCAGCTGCGCTCCCAGGCGGCCCCTCCGGTCCACTCCCGGAGGGTGGGCAGGGGGCACCTCTGAGCCCTGTGTCTGTCCACCCCACAGGGAGGGGGTTCTCTCGGGCCACAGCGGGTGCCTGAGCGTTTCCTGGTCGCAGAGGCTCCACCGCAGCCTCCCCCCGGCCCCCTGCGCTCCGCAGCTTCCCAACTCTAGGCTCCGAGGAGTTAATCCCGGGCGGCGCGCCCTCCCTGGCGGTTGGCCCGGGCCGGACCCCCTACGTCAATCATCCCTGAAGAGCAGCCGGCCCGGCACGCGTTGCCATGGCGATGGGCTGGGCGCTCCGGCGTTTCCTGGAGACGCCAAGGTCGGCCTGGAGCCGGGGAGGGGCGGACAGAGCACCCCACTCAGAGGGCGGGAGAAAGGCACGAGAAGAAGGGGCCACCTCTGTGCGGGTTCGGCAGGCAGGGTGCCCCCAGTGAGAGTGAGAGCAACGGAAGCGACGGCACGGCATGACGAGTCCCCACGGGGATTCGGTCACCCCAGGGCTTGGGCGGCCTCCGCCCTGGGCCCTGCGGTCTACACTCCGCGCGCCGGTGCTGCCATGGTAACCGCTGCGCGCCTGGGAAGCGCGTTCTCGCCGACTCGCCAGCTCCGCCCTCCTGGCCCGGCGGGGGCGCCCAGAGAGGATGCTAGACCCAGACGGCAGGGATGGGGACAGAGTCGCCCAAGTCCACAGCTCCAGACACCCCCGGGGCTCCAGACCTAGCGGGACTAGGACAAGGGGACCACACACGAGCAGTGGGACACCATGGGGGTGAACAGCAGTGACGCCAGGAGAGCTTCAGCGTGCCCAGCTCCCATGCAGTGTGCTGGAGGCATCTTCAGAGACATGGGCGCCCCACCCCTCAGGCCGCCTCTGCCTTGCTGAAACCTGCCCTCTGGCGCGCAGGGGGCAGGGAGTGGGCGGGACTGGCGCCCCCCAGCCGCCCACCGGCAGAGCCGGCACCTCCCCCTCAGACCCAACAGAGGGGGCCAGGTGGCCCAGCGCACAGGATGAAGGGAAGGGCTGCCATCTGCTGCCCCATGACAACAGGAGGCTGCCATCCCCTGGTGTTAGCCAGGCAGAGCCTCCACTCCAGGCAGGCCTCTGACCTTTTCTAACCCAGAAGGAAAATGACAGCAGAGAGGGAGTGGGCAGCTCCAAGTACCCGGCAAGGTCAGAAACTGTCCTAGTGCCTGGCCCATCGGGCACCCCCACCGGGGCTCCCCGCTCAGAGGAGCAGCAGTGACCCCCAAAGCACACACGGCAAAGGAGGAGGAAGGCAGTGAGCTTCCCCCATCTCTAGGCAGGCTCACAGGAGGGGCGGGGAAATGGCACCCACCCAGTATCCCGAGGAGGGTGGGAGGGCTGTGGGGACCCTCAGAAGCGTGGTGCAGTGAAAAGAGCTTTCCCTTACTCTGTGAATGACCCTGGACCAAGGGGAGGGTGGAGGGACCCCCAGAAGTGGCCAAGAGCCTGAGTGGCAGCTGCAGCTCTTCCTGTCAACCCCAAACTACCACCATTCCCAGCCCTCCTCTAGCTGTGCAGCCCCCACCCCACCTCCCCAGCCACCCTGCCACAGGCCCAGCAGACCTCCCACCCTGGAGTCCCCGAGTCCCTGGGGCTGGGACTCACATAGTCCTGGAAGGCCTTGGCCTCGCCTGAGTGCTCGCAGGCCTCTCTCCGGTCAGGCGCTGCACAGTACAGATCCCAGAACACACTGTGGGCGGCAGGGGTAGACGGTTGCTCCACGTGACCCCCTCAACCCCCTTCCACAGTCCACCCACAGCAGTCCAGCACGCACCACCACCAGGAGTGCAGGAACCCGGGGGGCTCCCCCAGCGTGATGTTCTTCTCCCATCGGATCTGCAGGGAAAGGAAGGTGGTGAGGGGGTGGCCCTACCTGACCTTGCGCCACCACGCAGCAGGGTGCCCAGAGAACATCTGGGCAGGGATGGAGTGGGGAGGGAAGGGTAACTGGGTGGGCAGAGGGCCCCAGGATGTGTGGCAGGTCCCGACTGGGCATGTGGACCAGATGCCTGGATGCCAGCCCGGGCCCGGACCCTGCCGAATCCTCAGTTCCCAGGGCCATCAGAGTGGCAACGCGGGCCCACCCCCTGGATCCCCAGTGGAAATGGAGGAGGCCCCTGGGGTGTGGGTGGGGAGGGAGGGCCAGGCTGGAGGCAGCGGCTTACCTCAGACAGGAAGGTCTGGGCTGACTTCTGGGCACCGATGTGCAGCAGGTACTCATAGACATACAGCGCCAACCTGTGGGGGCAAGGTGGTCCAGGGGGCTCAGGCTCTCCAAGGCAAAGGCCCGCCCCAAAGCCCTTCCACCTCTCAGGAGGGCAGGTGGAAAGGTGGCCTCCCCACCAGCTGCTCAGCAGGGACAGCTCATAGTTATCCATCCACGTCCTACAGGCCCCTCCCAGGCATCCCTGACCCCCAATTCCAGGCCGAATTCGGCTGTGTTCCGCACTCCCTCGAGGACCAAGTCCTTGCCCTGTCCTGCCAACACTGTGACTTCAGAGAGGCCTCCGTGCTGGGGAGGACTTCTCCACAGAGGAGTGTCATTCCTGAGTATGTGCGGGGTGGGTGCGACCAGTGGGCACCCTGGGCCATGTAGTGTGCTCAAGGCCCACACCCAAACTCATCCCCAACCTTCCCGGCCCAGGACGGAAGGAGGGAAGGGGCCCTCCCCCTGCCATCCCCCCCATTCCCTGGACCCCATCTCTTCCTTAGGGTCGCTGCCCATCCACTGTGGTGGCCTCAACCCTTCCTGCAGACTGTCCCCAGTCAGGGCAGTGCTGACCCTGGGGCAGTGTCTGGGGAATGGAGGTGGGGGGCCAGGGGAGGTAGGGCCCGCAGTGCCACGTCTGCAGTGGTGCCACCCTACCCAAACGCCCACAGGGCTCTGCACAAGTCCCCAGCCTGCCAGGGACCCCTGGACTCACCCTCTCAACCACTGCGTACCCCAAGAGCTTGGACCTGGGCCACCCTCGCCCAGCCAGGTGGCTCCAGCACGGCCCTCTGCAGGTCAGGGAGAGGCCGCACTGTCCACCCCACTCCAGTCCAGCTGCCACACCAGAGAGCAGAGGACAAAGCCCTCATCCAAAGGGGCGCCCAGTTCTGTGGCACCAGCCCTTCTGGACCTCCCTGGAATGAGCCGCCCCCTCTCAGAGTTCTTGTACTGCCCAGCTAGGGACCCATGAGGGTCTGCTGGGGGTTGGGGGACTCTTGGATTCAAGACAGGGTACCAGAGGGCCAGCCTGAGGCTGAGCCCTAGAGGCGAGAAGCAGGCAGGCCTGGGGGCCCTTCCAGCCGCCTCCGGCTCAGCTGCGCCGCCCTCTCTGGCTGCCGGCCCCATCCTAAAATAACCTTCCTTTGACTCACACTCTGCTCCCTCTCAGTCAGGCTGCTCCAATCCCAGCACCCACCACCTATCATGTCCCCCAGGTCCCTTTCAGACTTCCAACCCTCTGGTTCCTGCCCCGGCCCCTAGAGAACGTGAGGACTTCCTGCCCCCACCTGGTCTTCAAGGGCACTGCCCTTGCCCCAGATCTTATCCTGCCTCCCCTCCTTCATTCATTCACTTCTTCATTAGTTCGTCCAGCATCCATGAAGTGCCTTTTGAGCAATGCACACCCCCAGCCTGTCCTGGAGGCCACGTTCTTGAGGGGAGAGACAGAGACAGGCAATACCTGTCAAGAGAAGTGAGCTCTGTGGCAGGCTGGAAGGCGCCGAGGCTACGGAAAGGCAAGTGGCGCGGCATCAGGGAGGGGAGGCGGCCCAGGGCGGGGTGCACCAGGCTCACACTATACCATGTGAGCTGTGAAGGCCACCCCAGGGGCAGGGATGGGGCAGGACACACAGCGCCCAGTGGTCAGCCCTGCATCATCACACCACTCTTCGAGAGTGCCCCCAGCCCAGATCCTGCTAGATCCTGACCTCACACCCCTCCAGTCTCCCACACCAGCTCTTCCTCCACTTTCCTGGCCCCACGGCCTGCACGCCCGCCTATCTAGCTCACTTCTGTGGCACCTTGGCCCATCTAGAGGCTTCTGAGTCTTTCCCTGTGGCTAGTGGCTGAGAGGCCTGCGTCCATCAGTGGAAGGGGAGCACACAAGGCCAGACTGGGCAGGTTCAAGGGGCAGACCGACCAGCCTGGGGAGCCCAATGCCAACTCACCCACCAGGTGCGGAAGAGAGTTCCCACCCCAGCCACTGGGGGGTCACAGCAGGGGGCATGAAACGCCAGCGTGGGGTAAGACAGAGTTGTGGGAACGCTGGTGAGCTGCCCCAGGAGGGCGGGGGCAGCGGGAGATCCTGCACAGGCTGCATTCTGAGTACCCCACATCCAGGGCACGGCTGTCCAAGAGGCCCAGGGGGAGTCCTGAAGAGGGGGCTGCCAAGGGTTCTACCTGCCTTGTCTCCCATTCCCTGACTGTCCCCATGAGCACCTAACCCAGGAGGTGGCCCCCCCAGAGCCCACCCCGCCCTCTTCTGCTGTCCTCTTGCCTCCAGCCCCGTTGGCTACCAGCTCTGTCCTCTCCTCTGCTCTCCCTGTGTGGCCGCCCGTCCTGTTTTGATGACGCCTTCAAGTAGGGGCTGTCCAGAGGATGCTATGGCCTGACCTTCCCCAAACTTGGGATCCACTGATCCACTGACCCAGCCTCGACACCCTGAGCCCCCATCCCTTCAGCTTGGCCTTTACACACACATCCCATCCAAGGAGCCTCTGGTGGTGTGCGCACAGGCGTGCACCTGCATGAGATCCACCCAGCTGTCCCCAAACATCACTGCATTTAAAAAAACACTGAAGGAAATCTGATTCAGGCCCCTCTCCCCACCTCCACTGCACACCTGAGCCAGGCCACCCACCGTCTCCCACCTGGATTATGACAGAGTCCCCTCCAGGCACTGCTCCCCCAACCCCCACGTTCCTTGTGCAAACCCTCCTGTGCGCTGCCTCACCCCAACCCACACACTGGCTGCTCTGCCACCCCAGGGCCTCTGTGCACTGTTTCCCTGCCTAGGGCACTTCCGCCCAGAGACTCCAGTGTCACCTATCAGGGGCTTCCCTGTCACACGGAAGCCCACACCCTGCTCCATCTCCCCCTCTGAGAGTCTCTGTCTTCGCCCCCGATGGAATGTGGCTTCAGGCGGGGTGGGGACTCGGAGTCCGCTCACTGTGACGCCCTTACAATGGAGCTGGGCATCCTGGGCCCCGAGTCACCCCAGTGAATGAACAAACCGGCCCGGGGACCCCCTCCTGGGATGCCGGGAGGATCAGGCGAGCCATGGGGTAAGCACTGATGAAGGTCAGCAGCCATTCTGTCCACATTGAGGATTTGGGAATTTCTCCTGGGAGCGATGGGAGGCCAGAGGAAGTTTCTGACTTCGCTGATTTCCTTTCCACATTAGTCCTTTTATTTGAAACAGGATTCAGTCTCCAGGGAAGAACTGTGGGTTGTTATTGTTTTGTGTGAAAAGTTTTGAAGCCTGGCTGTTCGGCCAAGGAGTTTTGGGACCTACAAAGCCCTCCCCTCCCAGAGGACGGCTTTAGGGGCCAGGTCTGGGGGCGCCACTGGTTGGGGCCCTGAGCTCAGTTATAGGGAAGGGCTCTGGATGCAAATCACCTGTGCCCCCTACGGGCCACTTGCCCTGGGTCCGCACAACCTCTCAGGGCCTGCCGCCTACAAGGGCTCCCTGTGCCACACGGGCAGGTGGCCAGAAACGAACATGGGGAGGCACCCGGAAGAGCAGCAGGCAGCCCTCCCTGCAGAAAGAACACAAGACCCGGAGGACATGGGGTGCCTGGACCTGGAGCGAGCATGAGGCTACACAGGGAAGCAGAGCCAGGATGGGGTGCTAGCTAGCGCCTGGTGGCCTGAAATATACCACAGCTACCTCCATAATGACGCCAGTTACCATAATTACCGAGAATGGCCACAATGGGTGCTCCCTGCTCAGCGCCCTCCTGAACACAGACGCTGCTGGGACAGGAGACACCTGCCACTTACGGCTTTCTGTCACTGTGCCATCTGTCACCAGGTCTCACTGCTGTCCCCAAAGGGACCCTCCAACCCTTGCCATTCTCCCTCCCCTGTGCCAACCCTAAAGGCCGGGCCTTTGGCAGCTTATTGGCAAAGTGGCAGCCTCTCCTTACTACCCTCCACACCTGCCCCTCATAGCCATTTCCAGCCAGCGGCCAAAATGACCATGTCCAATTGTGAATCCCATCCCTGGCTTTCCTGCTAGGCTGATGAACAAGCCACCGGCATCCATGTGCTGGGTCAAAATCAAGCCTGGGAGAAGCCCATGGGCTGCCAGGCGACACCAACCATGGCTGTGATTCATGGACCTCTTCTCAACCTGCCTGGCAGCGCTTGAGTGTTGAAGGATATACACACCCCACTCTTGTTGCGGGTGGCCTATTCAGACCCCAGCCTCCCTTGGCCCACTCTGCTGCCCCCGCACTCCGCAGTCACCACCATCTGCTGCAAGCCCCCGAGGGCAGGCACCCACCAGGTGCTCGGTCCCTTCCTGGAGCCAGCTGGCCGAGACCTCGCGTGAGCCGGGAAGGCCTGTAGGCTCCAAGGGCAGCCAGAAGGGGCTCAGGATTGGGGCCAGAGACAGAAGGAAGGAGGCATGAGGCTCAGTGCAGGAAGAAAAGTGCAGTGCTGCAGAGTCAAGGTTTGGAGCAGTGTGACCCCTTCACCCCATTTCACAGAGGAGGAAACCGAGGCCCAGAAGCAGGAAGTGGCTCGCCTGTGGTGGATACTTCCTGAGAGCCGAGTGGCTGCACCAGTGGGTGCTCCACCTACGGACTCCTACCCAGTCCTTGCAAAGATCCTGAAAGACGGGTCGTCCACATTTCAGATGAGGAAACTGAGGCCTGGGGCTGCCTCTTAGAGCTCATCTGCGCCAAAGAAGCTGAGTCCTCATCAGGTGGCTTCCTCTCCAGGGCCCTGGTGTCCCTTTCGGTGAAATGGGGGGATGCAGCCATCTGGTGTTCTCCAGGCTTTCTTTGATAGCGGAACCTCACCTCCAAACCAACACTTACACGAGACCCTCTCCGTGAAATGGAAGCACACGGGCTGGCTCTGGCCAAAGAAGGGCCCCGCAGCCTCCCCACTGGCAGCTGAGGGACTTCCGAGAGCCTTGAGTCCCCAGAGCACCTCTGCTGGGCAGGTTGGGGGGTGGGAGGACAGTAAGGGAAGGGGGCCAGGAATGCAGCTAAACCCCTCACTCTACCACTCCCAGCTCAAACCTATGAAATCTCTTCCTTCTTACTTGGGTCCAGGCTGCCATCAGCTCTCTTTCGCCGTTTTTTTTGTTTTGTTTTGTTTTTCTTTTTGAGATGGAGTCTCGCCCTGTCACCCAGGCTGGAGGGCAGTGGCACGATCTCAACTCACTGCAACCTCTGCATCCCAGGTTCAAGTGATCCTTTCACCTCAGCCTCCAGAGTAGCTGAGATTACAGGCACCCGCCACCACGCCCGGCTAATTTTTGTATTTTTAGTAGAGACTGGGTTTCATCATGTTGGCCAGGTTGGTCTCGAACTCCTGACGTCAAGTGATCCACCCACCTTAGCCTCCCAAAGTGCTGGGATGATTATAGGCGTGAGCCACCATGCCCGGCCTCCCCAGCTGTCTTTGAGACAACTGTGTCCACATCCCCAGGGACTCCCAGCCTCTGTTCCTGACCCCTCTAAGCCCCACTCCACCTGGGAGCCAGAGCAACTTCTGCACACACAACCAACTGTGGCCCATCTGGCACTCTTGCAGACTGCCTCTTCCTATACCTGGGCCCAACCTCAGCTCCTTTTCCTGGTCCCACCTCAGGGCCTTTGCACTTGCCGTGCCCTCCACCTGACATCCCCTCACCCTTCACTATATATCACCCACTTCGCTTTCTCCAGGTAACTGGATACTTGCCTCCCTGCTGGGGTGGGGGCTTCTTCAGGGCCACTGACCCTGCCATCCCGACCAGACCCTGCCTTCCCGACTGCCACACCCTGGGACACCCAGGGCAGATATGCTGAACCAGTGAACGATCCTGATTCCCACTGGGTGGGTGGTCGCCTCCAGAGCCAGCAGCTGGCTGGAGACACACAGGAGACAGACCAGGGGTCCGGGGTGACCATGGCAGACACCTCCTACTTCCAACCTGAGCAGGAGCCAGAGGCCAGTTTCGAAAAGTCTTTGGGTTTGAGGGTGCTTGGAAACGGAGCTCATCTTCCTAACTGCACACAAACAAGGGAGGCCTGATGGTGCAGCCATTTGCCTACCACCTTCTGGCCAGAACAGCCACTTCTCCAAAATGACCCAGAGGCTGGGCAGAGGGGACAGGCATCTTTGTGGAGGGGTGGGGTATCCCAAGTCAGCCTAGGCAGAAGAGGTAGGACGGGGACACTCAGCCAACATCCGGGGCTCCTCTCCAGCACCCAGACATTCAAGTCCTCCCTCCTGGCCTGGCCCTCAAGGCGGGTCCTCATGGGACCCCTCCCCGCTGACCCAGCCTCCTCTCTGCTTGGGTGGCCAGTTCCACACCCCGGGTCACTCCAGGTGGCTCAACTTCAAGGATCCTGCAAGTCCACCATCAGCTATGACAAGACTCCCCTCCTCCTAGGCACTTTTTTTTTTTTTTTTTTTT